CTAATACTAGCATAAGGAAAACTAACTAAAACTATATAGTGATTGTCCTTGGTCCGAAAGTAAGACACGGGCACAATAATTCTTGAATTTGATCTGGTGTTCCTGCCGTCGAAGGATATACATTAAACCTCCATTACTAAATACATATATATTTTCTTTTTGTTATTAGCACTTTAGAAAATTGCTAGATACATTATAAGGACTCTATTTAATATTTTTTATATTATATAAGTTCGTACCAGGTCACAAATCTTCGTTTTCGGGGAAAGAATACGCCCGCTCTATCCAGCTACATGTTATCGTAAAATGCGACGAATTGCGGCTACCCTTCAGAATGGCGAATTTCGTCCGTGTCTTCTATGAAGGGATTATGAAGCAATCAGAACGGATCTGCTGACCCTACTGGAACACTTAGGATCTTTTTGTTTTGTTTTCGCCGCTTGCCCACTCTTTGTTCGAGCGGTATGGCATTTTCTGTAACGAGAACCATAAACCTTCAGCACACTTGCAAATTTGGAACATAAAGTGTCCAAATAAACAGTTACCATTGTTTGACGATGTTGGTAATCTTAAAATTAATCCCCTAATACATTCCGGAGACGAAGCATTGATCCATTACAGATCAGCCTTCGGACAGTTTACTGTTTCAAAGAACGATCTTGCTTATCACTATAAGAGGTAAATAAAAGAAATGATACAACCTATAGATGAAAGAAGGATTTTGACAAGCTCTCGAGAATCTTGAATCTTGATCTTGATCGAACACAACACAACACATAAATACATTTGATGTACTGTCGGTCCTACCTGTACTACCCAGCAACTCTTTATACCACCGATCTCATGCTGAAACTGGTTCATTAGTCCTTTCTGACTACAACTGACAAACGCAATACATTACCTTGTCAATGGAGAGTATTTGGTTACTTGTTAAATATCTCGCATATCATAGTAGATTGGCTAATTTTCCCAGCTCGAGATTTACATTGATGGCTTCAATATAGGCAACAACAATGTTTTAATTGTCAGCAGAACCGAATTTCCAGCTATGAAATTCTGTTGTCTGTCATAACAGACACGGTTATCGAGGAGGCACGGTAGTCGAGTGGTAGGACCCCGGGCTTGTAACCGAAGGCAGGGACGGATCCAGGATTTCCTAAAAGAGGGGGCCGAGAAAAAAACATTCTCAACAGTCAACGGTGTGCTGCCAAAGGCAGCATCCCGAGCGCGTAGCGCGAGTAGGGGGAAGGTACAGGAGGGGCTCTTCCCCCTCCCGTAATGGGGGTTTGGGGGATCTCCCCCAAAAAAATTGTGTTTTCTAGAACGTCTCAGAAGCGATTTCCCTTGTTCTGAGGATTGTTTTTATGTTTAATTAACAATAAGAAAAAAAACATATTTTAAGTATGGCCCATAGAGTTTTTTGTGTACTGGAAAGAAAATTGAAGTTTCGGTTCGAATTCTCTATCAACAGCGTGTTTTAGAAGTCAGATGGTATTGTTATAGGGGCAACCTGGTGATACTTTCTTGTATGTACACGATGGTAAGCTATAAGTACCACAATGAGATATTATGTTGTACATACAAGATAGTTAAACAGTTCCAACAATATATATATAATACCAAAATTATTGAATGGATATGTTTAGTCGATTATACATAATAATGTCAGCCGAAAAAAACCTTTATCGTTCTTGTATAATGATATGATTAATATCGCCCGGGCGGTTAGGAAGGTTAAGATAAAAAGTGTTAATTTTCAGATCATCTATAACGAGCGGTCAATGATATAATTATGCAACTTATGCTAGTATATTTCCGCCGAGCGTTTCAAGTTGCAACTTGGGGTTTTGCGGAGGTGGTAAAATAAAAAGAACACACTTTAGGGTCAAGATACAAAGTGGCGGTTGTGTCCCCCCCTAAATCCGCGCCTGGAAGGGTTGCGGGTTCGCGCCACGGTACGGCAATGTGTTGTATCCTTGAGCAAGATACTTTACTCCGCTTGTTCCAGTCTACTCAGCTGTAAATTAGTACGTGGTTGGGCAGTGCTAGAATTGTTGAATGCTAGCTGTTAGCGCCGAAATGGCAGCTACGGCTGTATGCTCCCCAGGGAGTTGAAAAATGTACTGACTAGGTGCAAAGGCCCTATAACCACGGATAATAATTTGTGAACCGCTTCGAGTCGACCTACGAACTAGGTTGTGATAAAGCGGTATATAAGAACCTCCAATTATTTAATATTATTATTATATAATTATAAGCGACATAGAGGACATCTAACAGTGTCTTCAGTAATACCAAACATATTTCACGAGTGTGGCTAATTATTTCATATCTTTCACGTTGGTGACCTTCCCACTATCCTTGATTCGACATTACTCATCACTCTGAAATGAATCATTAAATTTTGCGTGGCTACTGCAAGCCAATGTCTTTGATGACAGACCCTATCTTCAATTAATTGAAAGTCGCGTTTTAATTTCTAAATTTAGTTTCGACAGACAATAAGCATTATCTATGTTTTATACAAGATGTTTCTTTTAATCAATCAAACGCATCAGTCTATCTGCCGTGATATCAGATTAAGAGGTTAGTCGTTAGTATATATTAAACAAAAACAAGACGAGATTACCGAAGTGTCAACAAAAACAAGACGAGATTACCGAAGTGTCAACAAAAACAAGACGTGATTACCGAAGTGTCAACAAAAACAAGACGTGATTACCGAAGAGTCAACAAAAACAAGACGAGATTACCGAAGTGTCAACAAAAATAAGACGAGATTACCGAAGTGTCAGCAAAAACAAGACGAGATTACCGAAGTGTCAACAAAAACGAGACGTGATTACCTAAGTGTCAACAAAAACAAGACGAGATTACCGAAGTGTCAACAAAAACATAATTCAAAGTTTAAACTGGCAAAATATGAACAGAGGCATGTTAACACGGAGACCTGTCACTAACGAAAAAGGAGAATAAGACCAGGTGTTCCGGAAGGGTTAGCCTCTTCTGCTTCATTGACGACACCAGCCATGCAAATCTAAGTACAATCCAAGTAATTGCATATCATCACATAGAGAACTCGGGTAGTGGTAAAAAACTGCAAGGTACTCTAATTAGAGTAATGTAAACCGTCGATTTTAATTATATCAAACAAAGAAGTTGTATAGATCCCCACAAACGTACATACGTGTCGTTATGTGATGTCTTATTGACATTTAGTCTACGTCACTCCTCCTCCCATTGTAACATACAGTGAATAATAGTTGTGATATTAGAACACCATATTTGGTGACATGACCACCATTATGACGTCATCGATGTGATTGCGATAATAATATATTTGTTTTTTCTAAATGTTTCTAAGACTTTCATGAACTCGTGTTAACGGTATAAATGTTTAATGATCTAGTATGCTTGGCTGTATTGAATGTGTCAATAATAGCAATGTGAGTTATAAAATCAAAACACCATTTGCTTAATTATTCATTGTTGAAGTAAGATATTAATTGTTTGAATCAAACACTATTGAATCTATATATACGTCATGAAGTTAACGCTTGAGTTGACGCGGGAGATATTTGTCTCGCAAAATATTATAATCTGTTAGTCGATCATCCTCTGTCCACCATTACACATGTTGTAATCAGCTAGTCGATCATCCTCTGTCCACCATTACACATGTTATAACCTGTTAGTCGCTCATCCTCTGTCCACCATTTCACATGTTGTAACCTGTTAGTTGATCCTCCTCTGTCCACCATTAAACATGTTGTAACCTGTTAGCCGATCATCCTCTGTCCACCATTACCCATGTTAAAACCTGTTAGTCGATCCTCCGCGGTCCACCATTACACATGTTTTAACCTGTTAGTCGATCCTCCTATGTCCACCATTACACATGTTATATCCTGTTAGTCGATCATCCTCTGTCCACAATTACACATGTTATAACCTGCTAGTCGATCATCCTCTGACCACCATTACACATGTTGTCACCTGTTAGTCGATCCTCCTCTGTCCACCATTACACATGTTGTAATCAGCTAGTTGATCATCCTCTGTCCACCATTACACATGTTATAACCTGTTAGTCGATCCTCCTCTGTCCACCATTACACATGTTGTGGTTACGGTAACTCTCGTGAAGTGTTGTCAACTATTTCTGTAACTTTACCAGTGCGAGATTACATAAACTTGTTTTTGTTGTAGAAATGTCTTTTTCTGTTTAAACAAATAATCTTGTTTTTGTTGTAGAAATGTCTTTTTCTGTTTAAACAAATAATCTTGTTTTTGTTGTAGAAATGTCTTTTTCTGTGTAAACAAATAAACTTGTTTTTGTTGTAGAAATGTCTTTTTCTGTTTAAACAAATAATCTTGTTTTTGTTGTAGAAATGTCTTTTTCTGTTTAAACAAATAAACTTGTTTTATTGTATAAATGTCTTTTTCTGTGTAAACAAATAAACTTGTTTTATTGTAGAAATGTCTAATATTGTGTAAACAAATAAACTTGTTTTTTTGTAGAAATGTCTATTTCTGTGTAAACAAATAAAATTGTTTTGTTGTAGAAATGTATATTTCTGTGTAAACAAATAAACTTGTTTTATTGTAGAAATGTCTATTTCTGTGTAAACAATTAACTTGTTTTATTGTAGAAATGTCTATTTCTGTGTAAACAAATAAACTTGTTTTATTGTAGAAATGTCTTTTTCTGTGTAAATAATTAAACTTGTTATATTGTAGAAATGTCTTATTCTGTGATCACGATATCACGCAGTGTGTATACAACCTACACAAAACCAGGATATACAATCACTATGTAAGCGGAGTATGAATGCAGCTTTCCTTAACGTCTTTTTTCATCAATTCATTATAAATGTATTTCACGGGATACAGTATTCTATTGAAAAAACATTCAGGAGGGCAAGCTATTCATGTAAATGGATATATTTATCAGATGTGACTGGTGTAATGTCTATCAGATTTGATCCGTGGTCTGTGACCGGGAGGTTATGTTTCCATAACAACTCTGCGGATAATGGCGGCCGAGGGGAAGCTACACGCCTATCCAATATCACACGGGTCAGGAGAAACAGTAGGAACCTAATTGTACGACAGACACGGATCAAATTTGTCGCAGCGGTTCGCTCAAGAGGCCTATTCCCGCCTAGGACCGAACATTCTACCCCTACTCACGAACATCCGAGACTGCCTAACGTCCTCGGGTGTCGATTTGGCAGTGTCTTAACAATTGATGGCATGACCAGGAGCAAGAATTGTGTGATAAAACATAAATGGACAAAATTCCAGCAGTATCTTTTAGATCTCAGCGTGGTACATATATACACCAGTGATATATATATCTTTGGGCATTGCATGATCTAATGAGTTTAATAGACAGCTTCGCGAGCAGTGTTACACGATATCCTGTACTATATTACAAACATACACAATAACGACAATATTGTACACATATGCAAATGAAATGTTTCATAAACATGCGTGATTAATGGTTTATCACGTTAAGAAGTTTCACTTTTCCGCGCCTCATAAATAACGACAAACTGGCTATATCTGTGGTATCAACATTACACAGAGCGTTGAACTGGAGCGGTCGCACTTGGCAGGAATCCACCTGACGATTTTGGGAAGCTGAGTAATGTAAGTACTTATAGACGAATTGTTAATGCCATATGTCTAATTAACCAACTGGTATCTGTTGTCGGACAAATGCGCTGTTACTGACCATAGATTAACTAATCGACAGTATCCACCAACGTTCACAATCAAAAGTTATATATTTAATTTCATACTTAGATATCTCCGATGATAAACTTAACAGCTTTCGTTGGTTATAATTCATACTTAATGAATATCACATTGCAAAAGAGCCCTCACGATTAAAAGTTATTTCTGAAACAATTTAATCATAATCTATTTGGTGATACACTTTGAGATGCTTCTGCCTTAAATTTGTTCTCGTTGTAGTTATCAAATTAAAGGACTGTTAAGTCAAGTAAAGCACAATAAATTAACTATAAAAATATTCATCATAATACTCAAACTTATTATTATACATTCATACAATTCAAAGGGAGTGGGAGAACATGTTTTGAGCTGTAATAGATTTCTCTCAAAACTTTTGTCATAATACAAATGCAGAAATACCATTTCGTCGACACATAGACAAAATGACAAAATATTTATTTATACGCGATTCAATACACATCAATGAACACACGATACAATCGGTTTGGTTGTTGTATTAGGTTTTACGTCCTAATACATTAAAAGTCGAATGAGGACGTGCCCCCATGTGTGGATGTGTGCTAGATACAGGGTATGTAGATGTATTTGCCTCCTCGCGATAGCATGGATCTGATACCGATTTGAGAGTGCTTCCTCACTGAAATACCATGCCGAAGGCAACCATCACAGCGTTCTGCAAGGTCACATTATACTGACAATTCGTAAACAAGTTGAGCAGGGAATAGCAACTACCATATTCAAAGACTTTGGTATGTCCGGCTTTAACCCAAACAAATAACACAACGCTTNCCCCACCCCCATCTTTAGGTAGGGAAAAAATCAACCACAGTCTCTATATACGGAGACAAAATGTGATAAATTGTTAGCACTCTAGGACAAGACAAAACGAAGAACAACACATACACACAATAGATAACATGTCAACACATATGGGCAAAATAAACCACAGGGGCAATACGCAGCAACCCAATATGCTATAGCGCACTAATGAACATTGTCAAAGACATAGAACTTCATTTTGTAAAAAAAAAAGAAGTTGAATATATTCTAATGAGATCATAATGGTGACTTTTTAAAACATGCCCCATAGTCCTTGGCAACCCGTATCTCCCGATACTACTGATGTAAATCTGACCGTTAAAACACTGATTTAGTAAGGTACAACGTATAATGTATGGTAATGTAGTGATTCTAAAAGTCAAATGTCCTGATCGAAAAACACTTTTTGAGGAGAGGAGGCTCAAGATTGAGCAAAAGATCTTTTGAGTTCTTTAGAATCAACATCCTATACATCCCACATCTGGTTCATTGTCTCCTTACGACTGTAACCCTAGTCCAATAGCAGAAGGAACATGGTAGTCAGAAACCCTAATCCAATAGCAATAGAACATGGTAGTCAGATCCTTACGACTGTAACCCTAGTCCAATAGCAGTAGGAACATGGTAGTCAGATCCTTACGACTGTAACCCTAGTCCAATAGCAGTAGGAACATGGTAGTCAGATCCTTACGACTGTGACACTAGTCCAATAGCAGTAGGAACATGGTAGTCAGATCCTTACGACTGTAACCCTAGTCCAATAGCAGTAGGAACATAGTAGTCAGATCCTTACGACTGTAACCCTAGTCTAATAGCAGTAGGAACATGGTAGTCAGATCCTTACGACTGTACCCCTAGTCCAATAGCAGTAGGAACATGGTGGTCAGATCCTTACGACTGTAACCCTAGTCCAATAGCAGCAGGAACATGGTAGTCAGATCATTACGACTGTAACCCTAGTCCAATAGCAGTAGTAACATGGTAGTCAGATCCTTACGACTGTAACTCTAGTCCAATAGCAGTAGGAACATGGTAGTCAGATCCTTACGTCTATAACCCTCATCCAATAGCAGTAGAACATGGTAGTCAGATCCTTACGACTGTAACCCTAATCCGATAGCAGTAGGAACATGGTAGTCAGATCCTTACGACCGTAACCCTAATCCAATAGCAGTAGGAACATGGTTGTCAGATCCTTACGCCTGTAACCCTAGTCCAATAGCAGTAGGAACATGGAAGTCAGATCCTTACGTCTGTAACCCTAATCCAATAGCAGTAGGAACATGGTAGTCGGATCCTTACGACTGTAACCCTAGTCCAATAGCAGTAGTAACATGGTAGTCAGATCCTTACGACTGTAACCCGAATCCAATAGCAGTAGGATCATGGAAGTCATGTCCTTACGACTGTAACCCTAGTCTAATAGCAGTAGGAACATGGTAGTCAGATCCTTACGCCTGTAACCCTAGTCCAATAGCAGTAGGAACATGGTATTCAGATCCTTACGACTGTAACCCTAATCCAATAGCAGTAGGAGCATGGTAGTCAGATCCTTACGACTGTAACCCTAGTCTAATAGCAGTAGGAACATGGTAGTCAGATCCTTACGACTGTGACACTAGTCCAATAGCAGTAGGAACATGGTAGTCAGATACTTACGACTGTAACCCTAGTCCAATAGCAGTAGGGACATGGTAGTCAGATCCTTACGACTGTAACCCTAATCCGATAGCAGTAGGAACATGGTAGTCAGATCCTTACAACTGTAACCCTAGTCCAATAGCAGTAGGAACATGGTATTCAGATCCTTACGACTGTAACCCTAATCCAATAACAGTAGGAACATGGTAGTCAGATCCTTACGACTGTAACCCTAGTCCAAAACCAGTAAGAACATGGCAGTCAGAAGTTTGCTTAATAACTTGGTTGAGCAGGTACCAGAGGAAGGGATAAACAGGTTTTCAATAAGGATTCTAGTGAAGTTAAGGTAATGAAAAAAAAAACAAGGAAGGACCTTGTATTGACATTCAAAAGGGAGTCTCCTGAAAAACGTCTTTCGAAGGTGACAGTTGGTATAGGCATAGCGACGATGCTGAATATCTTGTTCCTACACATGGCTTTATCATTCTGTTATTTAATATCTATTATCATATATATATTTAACAGATCCCCCGTAAAAGTGTAAGAGGCATCATTTAAATTTTCAAATAGCACATGATGATAATTGCAGTAAAAATTGACGCATTGCACTTGGATATTATTCGTATATCTGTTTTTTGATTAACAATCATAACTCCATTTCAGAGAGGAAAATGGGCAAATATATTCTAACGTCATGATGCGAGGAACATTATCATACACAATCTCGACATGATGTAGATTTTGTGAATGTTTTATCTGTTACCCGCCGAAGTAATCTATCAAATTTTCAAATGTAATTGTATGACTGCATTATAGTTCTGTTAAGTGTGATGTATCTAGTTTTATTACAAATGTGAACATATTCATATTAAGAATCAAATAAGAATAAAAAATAGATGTACACTATAATGTTACATTTAAACATGTTCAAAGTTACAGTATCTATACAGCAGAAATGGCATCTAAGTGTGTAAACTGAAACCTCATACACACATTCGAAGTTAACTAACGCCATCAGTTTAACAAGAGTGGGTTAATAATAACCTTATAGTTTTCACTCAGTTAAACACTAGTGGGTAAACTGCAATTTCATAATTTAAACAACACTGGATAAACAATGTCATTTTCTCAGTTAAACAATAGTTAGTAAACTCATCCAACAATCTAAACCTCGCTCGATAACAACGTAATTCTATCAGTTAAACCATAGTTGTTATAGCTATAATCTGATACTTGTTCATCAGTTTAACACTAGTTGGTAAACTCTTACCGTATAAACTTCATTAGTTAAACAAAAATTGGTTAACTATCACTAATACTAAATCATACTGGATAAACAGTGTATCTTCATCAGTTAAACAATTGTTAGTTAGCTATAATTGTATTATTTTCTTTTGATAAACAAAAATGGACGAACACAAAATTAATAATCTAAACCTTGCTCAATAAACAACGTCATGTCATCAGTTAAACAAAAGTTGTTATAACTATAATCTAATAATTTTCCATAAGTTGAACAATATTTGGTAAACTCTAATCGTAGACCTTTCATCAGTAAAACACAAGTTGGTAAAATATAACCAATAATTTAAACCATACTTGAGGAACTATATAGTTTAACCAGTTAAAAAACAGTTGGTAATCCATTATCTAACAAGATTAATACAAGATTATTTTCACTAATGAAAAAAATACATATACAAAACTCGTTAGATTTAATAACATTACTTGGTGTTAGCCAAACCACAGTTAAAATGAGAGAAAATGCTGCAAATAATTAAATTTCCCTACTGATTTGTCAATAGTTTATGTCGAAGGATCATAAAAGTATCTACCTTATGTATGTCTTCAAATGTATAAATTGGACGGTCATGATATCTTTGGAAACACAAATTATAGTGATTCCAGCTTCACGGATTTATCTCAATATGACTTGTGTCAGTTATGTGTAGATAATCGCAGGGGTTTCTAAGAAAGCATACAGTTTGTTTATCGGCTTTTATAAGCCCAAGGTGTCCATAAAAATCCATTTTAGAATGTTTCATATCATTTTTCAATACAATATTTAATTTCGAAACTCGTAGATAAGTATAAGATATTTATATTTACTCATTCACAAACATCTCAGGTTCAGTAAAACGAATATAAGTCTACGGTGCCTGTAAACATTCATTCTCGAATATTAAAGTTAGTGTTTCAGAAATGATATTTGATATCGACACTTTATGGATAATTATCAGACCTAAACACGCCATCTCAGGTTCAATAAAAGGAATACCAATTATTGTTGCCGATCAAAGACTTGCCTATGATACGTATCTTTATAATGACAGAGTAACAATAAAAATACTGCCGAATTAAACCCAAAGCAACTTTCATTATCTTAACGACATATCAAATTGCACATATTTAACCTCAATTTGTATACAAAA